AAATCAACCTAGAGCTTTTGAAAATTTAACAAAATATAGAGAATATTTAGAATAAATAGAGAGGTTAAAGGAATATCGTATAACTAGTAATTCTGATTAATGAATCAAGAAGAAAGAGAAGATATTGAAAGATTTGGAAAAATTCAAGATAATACTATTGAAAAAAGATATAGAGAAATTAGGAAACTCCTTAAAGAACTTAAAAAAGAAAATAATATAGAAAGATGTGACAAGATACTAAAAACTATAAGATATCACCAATACGAGCAACAACAATATTTAATTTGGTTACAAGAAAATACTGAACTAAGATTTTCAAGATTAGTTCTAAGAACCTACGATCCAAATGGAAGAATTGTAAGACATAATCCTGAACAACCTAACAACTAAAAGATACATGATTTAACCAGCAATATATTTCATTAAGGGTAAAATAGTATTTTTAACAAAGAAGGACATTTTACCAAAAATCATTGTTGACTAAGCCTTTTAAATAAATCCCCTTTATTATAATTGTATTTTTTTGTGAAATATATAAATTTATCATTTTACCCTTTTAAAAGTTGATCAAAATATATGAAAGTCTGCTATTCTTGTCAACTAATAGTGAAATAGATGGATATTATCATTTTGTCCTTCTAGTATGATTAATTCAAATGTTTGAGACTGTGAGTAGCAAAAATTACATGTTTTGATAAAATTTGCATAAAAAAAAAAGGATTTGGGACTGTGATTACAATTATTCCTAAATGATATTTGATTTAGGGTTATTCTACACTACCAGAAGGACATTGCCAGAAGCTTACTAGATACTCAAAAAGGCTTTTAATAATATAAAATTAGCTTCTGTTAAAGTACTATTTTACCCTTACTTTCTTTATTTGCAAAATATGCCATGTATCTTTTAATTGTTAGATTATTAAGGGTTATATCTTACAATTCTTTCGTTTGGATCGTAGGTTCTTAGAACTTATCCTGGGAATCTTAGTTCCGTATTTTCTTGTAACCAAATCAAGTATTGTTGTTGCTCGTATTTGTGATATCTTATAGTTTTTAGGATCTTATCCCACATTTCTGTATTATTTTCTCTTTAAGTTCTTCAAGGAATTTCCTAATTTCTCTAGATCTTAATTCACTGGTATTATCTTGGATTTTTCAAAAATCTTTCAATATTTTCCCTTTCCTCTTGATTCATTAATCAGA